AATAACAGTCCAAAAAAGAAAACAAAGAAAAGAAGTTAAGGAGAACGCAAAATGTAATATGGACGGCGCTTTTGAACCACCTACGTCGCTAGCCTGAGATCGACATTTACCGCCCCGCTATTTACCGTAAAGCCACCGCAACATTTTGTTAAAGACTTCTGAAACTTTATCAACCTATATATTTTACATTTAAAACGCTGATGTTTTGTTAATTTCAACCGCGGGCTCAAACGGCTCGAATCGCTGCTCGCCGATAGTCCGATATTGAAGTGTCGATCACGGTCAACTGCTCGTAAAGTGGCTTTTTTAGGCTTGTTAGGTATTCCTGGAGCTGTATCGACGTTGGAAAGTGGTTCACAAGTCGGAACTGCAGTGAAAGAATCTCAAGCATAAGTTCAATCAATCGATATGCTCTTTCTTCAATGGTGTAACTCGCACTGTGTATACGTATGTTATTAGTGCACTGTTTCCAGATACCTTGAATTAAGGATTTTTTCTTAAAAATGCGTCCTGGAGTGAGGAACAGGAAGTTCTAAAGATGAGGATTGATATTACTCAAAATGAGAGTAACTATCAGTTCTGAAAACAAGAAATATGCACTAACAGTGAGTGACAAATACTGCCTAAAACTAGTTGTTCACGTTGGGTATATTCATATTATAAATAAAGTGACCTTCATTAGAGAAAAATGGACACAAACAGGAGGTCATTACACAAATCAAAAGAACAATGTGTCATAAAAGTTTCGATGTTTACTGGAAAATGGCATTTTATCCGAAAAAGTCTATTCGATAGTGGCGAGTAAAAAGTAAACACGTAATTGTAGCTGGATGATATAATATTTAGTTCATGGAGAGTTTTTAGAAACAAAGAAACGGATATTTACTAATGCAGTCGACGAAGTAATTCAATATAACTTGGTGGTCTTTTCAATCTTTGCAAAAAAAGCAACCACGAGGCAAAAAGAAAATTAACAATCAAATATGATTTATGCAAACACTTTTCGCAATTTTTGTCTGGGTTAGCAGAAATAGCCTTCCAAAACGTTGCGTGCAATTTAATTGACGGGCGGGTTCACAAAACAGGTTTTAACTTGAAAATGGTAGAAACATTCCGGCCTCACGACCTTTCTAATCCCGACCGATCATAGCGAAAAATTCCTCACGAAGGACATGAACCATTACACGGAGTTCAACAGTCTTGTTAATGTAATTCTTGATATGTGTGAAAGTTGGGTTGATTCCTTCGCAACTTTTCGTGGTACCCTTATTTCCTGAAATGATTGGCACAAGGGACGGCATTCTGCTTTGCGCAAGCATAACCCAATGTTCTGATCTGGTTGGTACGTGATTCATACTCTAATGCGGCAATCTAACCGGTTTGTGATACACCAAAGATGCGGCAATCTGATTGGCACGTGATATATGCCCTTATCACATCCATTTTGAAATCACTGGTGGTCTCCGTAATCTGATTGGCTCTAATTGGTGCGATTTATTGCCAAATCGCACCATTTTTTGCTCTAAATCGCATCTTTTCACCAGGCAATGAGGAATTTACACTTAAAACAAACAACCAATCAGATTTCAAGGCTTGTCTAAAGTGGCCAATCAAACTGCAGGAAAATGAAAAACAAAGAGTATCGTCTGGAAAATTTTGCAACTTTTGTTTCCAAAACTCTTATTTTTCCCCCCAAAAATGGATGAGTTTAATTTCTTCCAGTTTTTGAATGATAAAAATGAGATTCTTCAGGCTGAAGACCAACATGCCAGGGACTTTCCAACTTTTTGTCTACATTTTGGTGAATATTTTGACGATTTTGTACCTTCTCAAGCTCAAAATCCGCGCGATCCCGAGTCCACCGAGTCAACAACAAACGAAGAAAATCAAAACCCACTACAAGAGTTGGAAGTTGCAAGATTTCTCATCATTTTAAGCGATGAAATACATGAGCTTAAGTCTGTCACTTCCAATAATTATAGCTCCCGCTCCACAAAACAATGGATGAATGTTTTCAGAAGTTGGTGTCAATGCCGCCATCTTGAATATGTCTCCATCGAAACAATGGCGCCTGAAGAACTTGACAAAGTCCTGAGTAAGTTTTACGCCGAAGTAAGAAAAAAGGACGGAGACGATTACGAGCCACAGTCCCTTAAAATCATGCAGAGTGCCATAGAAAGATATCTAAAGGAGAAGAACTATCCATTGAGCATCGTGCAATCGAGGGAGTTTCACTCCTCACGAGAAATCCTCAATGCGAAAGCAATTTCCCTGCGTCAACAAGGAAAGGGAAAGAGACCCAACAAAGGTCAGCCAATCACATCTGAAGAAGAGTCAGCCTTGGGGGAAAAAGGTCAGTTGGGTGATTTTAATGGAAAGGTCTTGACCGATGTCAGCCTTAGAAATTTGACGGAACAACTGGGATTTCGTGGTCGCCAAGAACACTACGATGCGTACGTGGAAGATGTAATTATAAGACAGCGAGAAGATGGAACTGAAGTTGTTGAGTTCAGAGAAGGTCCCACTAAAACACGGAGCGGTGGTCTCACCATTAGGCGAAGAACAACACCACAAGCAATGCTCAGCACCGGTGGCGGAAAAAGCGATCCAGTGCGGCTATTCAAGCTTTGGTTGTACAAGCGACCGGAAGGAATGAAGAACACAGGGCCACTCTATCTAAGCATCATTAATCGTCCTAAATCAGCAGATGTTTGGTATGAATGGGACAAAACACCATCGGAAATTTAACGAAATCCATGGCCCCATGTCTCCGGACGAATAAGGAGCTGACGAACCACAGCATGAGGAAAACATTGGTATCAAAATTAGAAATCAGGTCAACCGCGCAATATCATCTGTGAAATAACAGGCCATACCCGTGAATCTTCGTTAGACGACTACGATGAAATAGACGAGAATCACAGGAAAGAACTGTCTCACATTTTCAGTGGATATAAAGACGTTTCAAACGAAAATCAAGCAAACGAAGTCTCCCACCAAAACAATGCAAATGAAGCCTCAAATCAAGAGACTGCAGTCCAACATAAACTAACACCTCTGGTTCGTATTTATCACGTCCAACAACAAGGCCAAATTAATCAGGCCATGGGTTCCAATCCTGGTTTTCATTCAGTTGAATTTTCAGGATTTCAACTACGTTTTCCATTGCAGTCTCCGCAGTACCGCATGGAAGCCTTCAGTTGTGCTGCTCCCGTTCCATCGCAGAATTACAAGCTGCACCTTCAATTTCTTCTTCAGAGACAGCAAGAATTCTCCACCCCAACCACTGAAGAAACGAAGGGCTTACATCATTAAGTCAGACGACCAGGATTGAACTTTAACACTTCACTATTTTTCTGAGTTATTGAGGACTTCTTGAATTTATTCATAGTTAATAGAGGGCACTTTGCACTAAACGGTCGAGTGCAGAACTTGTTGTTCACGTTTGGTATATTCATAGTATAAATAAAGTGACCTTCATTAGAGAAAAATGGACACAAGCAGGAGCCCATTAAACAAATAAAAAAAACAATGTGTCATAAAAGTTACGATGTTTACTGGAAAATGGCATTTTATCCGAAAAAGTCTAGTCCATAGTGGCGAGTAAAAAGTAAACACGTAATTGTAGCTGGATAGTACAATGTTTAGTTCATGGAGAGTTTTTAGAGGCAAAGAAACGGATATTTACTAATGCAGTCGACGAAGCAATTCAATATAACTTGGTAGTCTTTTCAATCTTTGCAAAAAAAGCAACCACGAGGCAAAAAGAAAATTAACAATNTTCCGGTTCCGCTTTTTTTTTATAAACCGGCTCAGTACTGCATCAATAAAATATTTGAATTGACCAAGTTCTGTATTTGGGCGATTTCAAAATGGATGTAATAAAGTGGTAACTGAACCTCGTGTCGTGCAATTTTGGTCTGAAATCATACTTGTGATTTCAAATTGAACTCGCGCTGCGCGCTCGTTCGATTTTGAAATCACGCGTATGATTTCAGCCCAAATTGCACTCCACTCTGTTCAATTACCATTATTTATGAGGCAATCTGATTGGCTTGTGACACACCAAACTGCGGTAATCTGATTGGTGCGAGTGACGCACCACTCTTTACGGTGACATAGAGTTTTTGTTTGTTTGGTTTTTTTTCAATAAAACTCAAAAGTCATAAAACTGTAAGTCATAAATACTCTTACCAACGAGTTTTATCTTGGCGAGTTGTATGGAGAGTCCTTCTTCATATTCATCGAAAAAGCTTTCTTCAAAGCTAATCGACCAATGTTATTTTTCTCAGATGAGAGATGAAACAATAGTTAACTATATACTTCAAGGCAAGAGAAATCGGTTGAAAAAAATCGACCAAACCGCCGCAACTTCATTGTCGGTAGTTTTTTTTTAAATGTGGCTGATTGACATTAGGCCTTTATAGATTATGCTAGCATAATTTTTGGCATAATTTGAGCAAACTGGCATAATTTCTGCTAAGTAGCAATGCTAGCATAATTCGCATATTTTGATAATTATCGGATCATTTTTGATGCTACAATTTGATCATTGTTCATCTCCACTCCCAAGCACTTGGTGACGTTATTCGATGTTTTCAGTGTTAGTCTATGTAGTAGCATTTGAAGTTCCCTGTGAATCACTGAGCGGCGTCTAAAACGGTCTGAGCCCGGGTCTGGGGTGCACCGAACCGGAAGTCACATTGTTGGCTATGTTGGTCCCAGTACCTCTCACCAGGCAACTCGCAGATAAGTTACACGAGAGTATGGTCCAGTACCAGTGTGCACGTTAACATGAACCACATGTTTATTTGAATTTCATTGTGGATTTTTTGCGTTTCTTTCTTGTAGACCAACGGCTTCCACTTAAAAAAAAACTATGTTTTTGGCTTATTAGCAATTTTTTCAAAGAGCATAATTTTTTAAAGAAGGGGCATAATTTGGGAAAAAAAAGAGCATACTTTTAGCATAATTTAGCCAAAAAAAGCAATCCTTCTAGCATAATATGCTACTTTTTCTACCATAATCTATAAAGGCCTAATTGACACACATCCTTACCGAAGCATTATTTGGAGTCTCCTATTTGCTCAAATCAGCAATTCCGTGAAAAAAAGACTCGCTGATTCTAAGACTTTGTCCATCCGGACTGTTTCACTTTTGAAGACTGGCAAAGGCCGAGAAAATCTAAAAAGTCAGAGAGCGTAAGGTTTCTTTAATTTTTACCGCTGACGTAAACCCCATTGCGACTTCTTACGCGCCGCGTGGGTTTTTGCGCCAATAAACTGATAGAAAATGTGGTCATTTTGCTTTAACAATTAACTCGTTTGGACCATTCAGAATCGGTTGTTCTCGATGGGTATATTCATGTTATGCGAATAAATAAATTGACCTTCACAAGAGAAAATGGACACAAATCGATAAACGAGCGTTGGTAGCCTTAAAATTGCGGAAATCAGTGCCCCGAGTAGAGGCAAGTGAACTTTGCTCATGAAAAGCTCAAAAGAGAGCAAGCTCGTATCAGTTTGACATATTTGTAGAGGAGGGATTGAAGTATGGCTTAAGTCTAAAACGGGACCGTTTCGTTTAATTTTGACATAACGGAACACTTAGAAATTACAGATATTTCAAAATCTAAATATCGCATTTTGTACCACATTTTCAATTATCAATTTCACCATGCGGTATAACTCGGAATGGGTTTTTCAGTGTCAAATACTCTAGAATAAATGCACCAGACCAAAAGGTATCAGGGATGCAGATATTTTGCAAGGTTCAAGGAATGCTCAGTCAGACATCCTCAGCACAAAAAAAAGGGATAACCATTGAAGGAGGAAAAACACAACTTAATTTTTTTCCAGATGGAAAAACAAACATAACGAAAGCGATAAAAAACAAAACAAAAACAAAAACAAAAAACAAAAAACAAAAACAAAAACGAAAACAAAAAACAAAGAAAAAAAAAACGAAAAATGAATAATAAAACTCAAAAAGGAAACAAAATGTTGAATGCGCACCTAAATTATTGGTCTTGCTATTGGGATTTGGGTTCCAATCAGTACCTCAGCCTACAGCTGTAGCTATTTAACGACGTGTTGTCCCCTCAAATCTTTCGCTCCCACACCTTTGATGACATCGATTAACTCCTAGAATCAAGGAGAGATCTTAAATTAAGCTATCTCCCTTTCTTAGGTCCTTGAATAATAACCAAATTAAGGAGCTACCACCTGGAGTCTTCAGTTACAACTCCAAGTTATATCACCTGTAAGTAACTCATTCATAAGTTAATATTTAATGATTGTCCCAGCTGCAG